GGCGGACTGACAACTCATGGGGCCCCCGGGTAATAGGGGATCATGGGGCCCGTGTGTCCTTGCCCAAACTCAAAAAAGCCTATGAAAAATGTACCAGGGGCATCTCATGGGGCCCCCTATCGACCCCGGGCCCTCGGGCAGTGCCCGAGTTTCCAAATGGTCAGTCAGCCCCCCGGTTGTAAAGCGCTGAGCAAACTGTTGGCGCTATATAAATCCTGTATAATAATAATAAACTGCCGAATGCTCACAGTAAGCCCTCATGCACGCGGGACGTTTTTACGTTTTTGGCTTTTGACGGTTTTTTCTACAGCCAGTGAACCCCCCCCAGCATGTTCTCCTATGTCTCCATGCACACACCGACTGTAATCAACGTTTTTTGGCTGGAAAAAACCCCCAGAACTAGTGGACTTCTAGAAGAGTTTTTTTAGCAGTAAAACACTCTAATGCTGAAAAACGCGGAAAAAAAAAAAGGCCGCAAACCGGTGTTTGTGGACATTTTTTTGACCCCCCCAAACTTTCATGTAGTAAAAAAAGCTAAAAAATGCTAAATAACACAGACATGGATAAACGCTGCTAATCACGGTAAAACACTGCAAACTGTCGTTTTTGGACATTTTTTTCACCTCCAATTTTTTTTGGGGGGGGTAAAGAAAAAACGCTAAAAAAATGCAGATGCGGAAAAGCGCTGCTAACCGCGGCAAAATGCCACACTTTTTTAACCCCCCCAAAATTATTTTTTGGTGGTAAAAAAAAGCTAAAAAAATGCAGATGCATTTGCCAAACTACAAGTCCCATCATGCCTCTGCCTTTGGGAGTCATGCTTGTAACTGTCAATCTTGCAATGCCTCATGGGACTTGTAGTTTGGCAACAGCTGAAGGGCCGCCAGTTGGACACCCGTGGGATACAAAGTGAGCCGCAATGAATAGACTCTGCACTAATCACAGAGCTACATGATCAACAATGTGTCTTGTCAATCAAATAATTCATTCAACCTGGTGGCCCTCCAGCTGTTGTGAAACTACAAGTCCCATCATGCCTCTGCCCTTGGCTTCTCTTTCTATGGTTCTTCTGTGGTTCACGCTAGAAGGCTTCCGATCTTTATTTGCTCTTGTAGGAACGAACGGTCAGGGGATCGGCACAAGGTGAGCGGACTCTTCTGTAGTGCGATGCTGAGGAATGATGATTTCTTGTGGGCGTGGAGCCCGCTGACGGGCCCCCATACCAATGCTGTCAACGACTTCCACCCTCCACCAATTGAGTAGTGCCGTTGTGTCAAACTGGTGGCCCTCCAGCTGTTACCAAACTACAAGTCCCATCATGCTTCTGGCTTTGGGAGTCATGCTTGTAACTGTCAATCCTGCAGTGCATCATGGGACTTGTAGTTCGGCAGCAGCTGGAGGGCTGCCAGTTGGACACCCGTGGCATACAAAGTGAGCCGCCGTGAATAGAATCGGCACTAATCACAGAGCTACATGATCAACAATGTGTCTTGTCAATCAACTAATTCATTCAAACTGGCGGCCCTCCAGCTGTTGCCAAACTACAAGTTCCATCATGCCTCTGCCTTTGGGAGTCATACTTGTAACTGTCAATCCTGCAATGCCTCATGGGACTTGTAGTTTGGCAACAGCTGGAGGGCCGCCAGTCAGACACCCGTGGCATACAAAGTGAGCCGCCGTGAATAGACTACAAGTCCCATCATGCCTCTGCCTTTGGGAGTCATACTTGTAAATGTCAATCCTGCAATGCCTCATGGGACTTGTAGTTCAGCAACAGCTGGAGGGCCGCCAGTTGGACACCCGTGGCATACAAAGTGAGCCGCCGTGAATAGAGTACAAGTCCCATCATGCCTCTGCCTTTGCCTTTGGAGTCATACTTGTAAATGTCAATCAGTCTGCAATGCCTCATGGGACTTGTAGTTCGGCAACAGCTGGAGGGCTGCCAGTTGGACACCCGTGGCATACAAAGTCAGCCGCTGTGAATAGAGTACAAGTCCCATCATGCCTCTGCCTTGGGAGTCATACTTGTAAATGTCAATCCTGCAATGCCTCATGGGACTTGTAGTTCGGCAACAGCTGGAGGGCCGCCAGTTGGACTCCCATGGCGTACAAAGTGAGCCGCCATGAATAGACTTGGCACTATCACAGAGCTACATGATCAACAATGTGTCTCGTCAATCAATTCATTCAAACCGGCGGTCCTCCAGCTGTTGCCAAACTACAAGTCCCATCATGACCTCTGCCTTTGGGAGTCATGCTTGTAACTGTCAGTCTTGCAATGCCTCATGGGACTTGTAGTTCGGCAACAGCTGGAGGGCCGCCAGTTGGACACCGTGGCATACAAAGTGAGCCGCCGTGAATAGAGTACAAGTCCCATCATGCCTCTGCCTTTGGGAGTCATACTTGTAAATGTCAATCCTGCAATGCCTCATGGGACTTGTAGTTCGGCAACAGCTGGAGGGCCGCCAGTCGGACACCCGTGGCATACAAAGTGAGCAGCTGTGAATAGACTACAAGTCTCATCATGCCTCTGCCTTTGGGAGTCATACTTGTAACTGTCAATCCTGCAATGCCTCATGGGACTTGTAGTTCGGCAACAGCTGGAGGGCCGCCAGTTGGACACCCGTGGCATACAAAGTGAGCCCCGCCGTGAATAGAGTACAAGTCCCATCATGCCTCTGCCTTTGGGAGTCATACTTGTAAATGTCAATCCTGCAATGCCTCATGGGACTTGTAGTTCGGCAACAGCTGGAGGGCCGCCAGTTGGACGCCTCTGTTGTATGCAATCCAATAATATAATGAAATGTTCCTCCCTTTCTCCTCAGATCAGCTATGGATCCACGGACTACACATTGACCGACAGGCAGCTTTATCCTCACGTGTTCAGAATCATTCAGAACGACCACATCTTAGGAATTGCCAAACTGGTGAAACATTTTGGTTGGACGTGGGTTGGAATCCTTCTATCGGATAATGACACCGGAGAGAACGAGGCCCGAATTCTGAAGAGATACCTGAGCTCCCACGGGATTTGCGTGGCTTTTGAAACACGACTTATCACCGATCTAGCTACAATTAAAGAGTGGACAAGACAAATCAGAACCGAACGTTGCAACGTTGTCATTCTCTGCGGGTCCTTCACCAACCATGTGTATGCTTACCTAGGAGTTTACTATACGATGAACCCCGACTCCGTGACCATATTGCCGTCCTCCTGGCTTTACGGTGACATGACTTTCTATTGCCTATTTCCTCAATTTAACGCGGGTTTGGCTTTGGATTTCATAGATATACGATTCCCAATAGCTCAAGCTTTGGCAGACTACACTCTGTTGTCGAGACCGCCACTTACCAAGCTGCTCAATGTTGAAACGTCCATTACGTTATACAATGTATCAGAAAATCACAATGGGAATAACGTTCATTTACAAAACGCAACTCTTATCAATCATAACATGTCATGGCCGGATGTTATAGCACGCGTTCAGGACTACTTGTACAGCGGGAGCTCCGTACGGATGTTCTTGGTAGTGGAGGTCTTGGCCCAAGCTTCATTTCTGGCATGCCATGTGAAACCCGCCTCTGACATGCACAGGTGTGATCAGGTACATCTGTACGGCTCGGCGTTGGGTTAGGGATTGATTTTTATTTTGTGTTTTAGGATGCCTTTTATAATATGAAAAGAGGAGATGTCCCTATTATTCTGAATCATCTGGATGAAGAACCTCTTCTGTTCTGTCCTTTAGGGCACGGGTGTCAAAGTGGCGGCCCTCCAGCTGTTGCCAAACTACAAGTCCCATGAGGCATTGCAAGATTGACAGTTAAAAGCGTGACTCCCAAAGGCAGAGGCATGATGGGACTTGTAGTTTCACAACAGCTGGCGGGCCGCCAGTTTGAAAACCCTGCTTTAGTGCTTTATGCAGGCCATACATGGGTCGAATCCTGAACAAATTTTCTTTAGAAAATTGGAAATTTTGTGTGTTTTGTACTCCGATGCATTCACTCCCTGCATTCACTATATCCGCTCTCCCTGGACCCTGCATTCACTATATCCGCTCTCCCCGGACCCTGCATTCACTATATCCGCTCTCCCCGGACCCCGCATTCATTATATCCGCTCTCCCCGGACCCCGCATTCACTATATCCGCTCTCCCCGGACCCCGCATTCACTATATCCAGTCTCCCAGGAACCCTTATTCACTATATCCGCTCTCCCCGGACGCCGCATTCACTATATCCGCTCTCCCCGGACGCCGCATTCACTATATTTGCTCTCCCCGGACCCCCTTATTCACTATATCAGCTCTCCCCGATTTGTAGACGCTATATCCTGCATTCACTATAGCATGGGCTCTCCCAGGACCCCGCATTCACTATATCTGGTCTCCCCGGACCCTGCATTCACTATATCAGCTCTCCCCGAATCTTGCATTCACTATAGCCGCTCTCCCAGGACCCCGCATTCACTATATCTGGTCTCCCCGGACCCCACATTCACTATATCTGCTCTCCCCGAATCCTGCATTCACTATATCTGCTCTCCCCGAATCCTGCATTCACTATATCCGCTCTCTCTGGACCCCGCGTTTTACTATATCCGCTCTCCCAGGACCCTGCATTTCACTATATCCGCTCTCTCTGGACCCCGCGTTTCACCCGTCCCAGGACACCGCTCACTATATCTTGTCTCTCCCCGGACCCCACATTCACTATATCCGCTCTCCCTGGGACCCGCATTCACTATATCTGGTCTCCCCGGACCCCGCATTCACTATATATCCGCTCTCCCCGGACCCCGCATTCACTATATCCGCTCTCCCCGGACCCCGCATTCACTAGCCGCTCTCCCCGCTCTCCCAGGTCTCCCGGACCCCGCATTCACTATATCTCACCCTATATATATTCCGCTCATCCTTGTCTCCCCCCTCGACCCCGCATTCACTATATCCGCTCTCCCCGGACCCCGCATTCACTATATCTCCTCCTGGACCCCGCAAGCTCTCCCCGGACCCCGCATTCACTATATCCGCTCTCCCCGGACCCCGCATTCACTATATCCACTCTCCCCGGACCCCGCATTCACTATGTCAGCTCTCCCCGGAATCCTGCATTCACTATAGCCGCTCTCCCAGGGACCCTGCATACACTATATCCGCTCTCTCCGGACCCCGCATTCACTATATCCGCTCTCCCCGGACCCCGCATTCACTATATCCGCTCTCCCCGGACCCCCTCATTCACTATATCCGCTCTCTCCCCGGACCCCGCGCTCTTCACTATATCCGCTCTCCCCGGACCCCGCATTCACTATACCGCTCTCCCCAAGGAGCCCGCATTCACGTAATATAGAAGTGGTCTCCCGGACCCGCATACTGGGCACTATATCCGCTCTCCCCGGACCCCGCATTCACTATATCCGCTCACCCCGGACTCCCGCTCACTCCGCCCCGGACCCCGCATTCACTATATCCAGAGGACCCTGCAGATTCACTATATCCGAGCTTCATATCCGCCCGGGAGGATCCGCATTCACTATATCTGCTCTCCCCGGACCCCGCATTCACTATATCCGCTATATCCCGCTGGGAATCCCCGGACCCCGCATTCACTACTATATCTAGTCTCCTCGGACCCTGCATTCACTATATGCGCTCTCCCCGGACCCTGCATTCACTATACCGCTCTCCCCGGACCCCGCATTCACTATATCCGCTCTCCCCGGACCCCGCATTCACTATATCCGCTCTCCCCGGGACCCTGCATTTACTATATCCGCTCTTCCCGGACCCCGCATTCACTATATCCGCTCTCCCTGGACCCCACATTCACTATATCCGCTCTCCCCGGACCCTGCATTCACTATATCCACTCTCCCCAGACCCTGCATTCACTATATCCTCTCTCCCCGGACCCCGCATTCACTATATCCGCTCTCCCCGGACCCCGCATTCACTATATCCGGTCTCCCACAGTACACACAACATGGATATGCAATTATTTTAGTAAATGTATACTGTTAAATACCTTTTCTCACCAGCAGTTTGAGCAGTCTTGTGACTTCTATCAGTTTCCAGCAGAGCACTAGCTAAAGCGTTTAGGAGGCATTTTCTTTCTGCTCTAGGAGTATACAAATCCCCTGACCCTCTGTCTGGACAGCGCTGATTGGCCCTGTGCTGATCACATGCAGTCTCAAGAAGAAAAAAAAAACCTCTCTAGCAATATACACCAAACTGAGCATGTGCAAATGCTTACAGTTCAGTCTGGAGATAAGTGGTGGTTCCTTGAAAAAGGGGAGGAACAGAGGACTCAGGATCAAGCAGCCTTTTTTACACAATGCAGAGGATTAACCCCTTAGGTCCCACAGTGAGTATAACAAGCATGCTTTACTGTATCTACAGACTGATTGTACCGCTGGGGGTTTAGGAACACTTTAACATTTTGAACCTTTGTTTTGTCTTTTAGCTGCATAAATATATAAAACGAATCAGAAATCCATTGAAGGGTTACAAAAATCGAAATTTATTTGAAATAAATGGGGATTTTGACATTCCTCTCATGATACAAAATTTTATACAGCCTGAGAAATATAGAGTGGTTGTTAATAAAGTTGGATATTATATGGCATGGCTAAAAAATGATCAGCAATTGTACATCAACTACAGCGCCATAAGGTGGAGCCGACACAGCAACAAGGTGAGGAGGAAGCAGGGGCGGACTGACCATTTGGGAACTCGAGCACTACCCGAGGGCCCGGGGTCAGTAGGGGGCCCCATGAGATGCCCCTGATACCTTTCATAGGCTTTTTTGGGTGTGGTTTGAGTGTGGGTGAGGACACAGGGGCCCCATGATCCCTTATTGCCTGGGGGCCCCATGAGTGGTCAGTCCACCCCTGGGAGGAAGCACGCGGTTTTCCCTAAAATTCATGGTGCAAGAGGAAGAATTCTGTGCACTCTCCCTATACACAAATCCACAGAAATTACAGTGGAACTTTACCTATAAAAAAAAATGCTATCAAGAATCCGGCAGCACAGTAGCTAAGTGGTCAGCACTTCCCTCTGGCAGTACTGGGGTTCTTGGGTCAAATCTCAGCCACAGCACCTCCTGCCTGTTCTTCCTATGCCTGCGTGGGTTTCCTCCGGGTACTCCAGTTTCCTCCCACACTCCAAAGACATGCTGGTAGGTTAATTGGCTCCTATCTAAATTGCAAAGCAATGTGCTTACAGTGAAGCACAGTAAAACAGCGCACAGTTAACCCTTTGATCGCCCCAGATGTTAACCCCTTTGTTCCATTAGTACAGTGTCAGTGCTTTTTATTAGCACTGATCACTGTATTGGTGTCACTGGGGATGTCAGTGATACCAAGTCAGTCCAACCCCCCAGTGTCAGAATGCCCGCCGCAGTCCTGCTATAAATCGCTGATCACAGCCATTACTAGTAAAAAATAAAGTCCCAGTATATATACCGGCATTTGTAGACGCTATAACTTTCATGTAAACCAATTCATTTACACGTATTGGGATTTTTGTTAGCAAAGACACGGAGCAGAATAGATTTTGGCCGAAATTTATGACGAAATTTGATTTTAAAAATTTTTTTTACTGGACATGTTTTATAGCAAAATGTCAAAAATATTGTTTTTTTCTCAAAATTGTCGGCCTTTTTTTTTATAGCACACAAAAAAAAAATATAGCACAGGTGATCAAATACTACCGAAAGAAAGCTCAATTCGTGGGATAAAAAGGACATAAATTTCATTTGGGTGCAGCGTTGCATGACTGCGCAATTGTCAGTTAAAGTAACGCAGCGCCGTAACGCAAAAAAAGGCCTGGTCAGAAAGGTGGGGAAATCCCTGGAGGACGAGGGGTTAAAATAAATGCTGAGCTGTGCACTCTCAGTGTGAATGATCTGCATTCAAGCGAAGGAGTTACGTCCTCCTAGACTGACTAAATAAAATGACTGAAGATTGTAACGGAACCGACCCCAGACTGCGCTTGGGTACTTCTGTTAGACTGCCGCTTCCCCGTCCGAACACCGACCACAGACACCACAGACGACCATACAAGACTAGACGTCATCAATCTTGAAGTAAGCCAGAAGGTAGACTAGTTTATTTGAACACAGATACAAGATATATACACTCAGGGGACAGTCCCCCCTCCCTGCATAATGACACAGGGTGGGGCAATCTACATTTAGTAACAAGAGACACACAGGTATTCAAACGTCACACCAGCAGACAGTCCCATCAGGAGGGAGGGCTGCTGGAGACACCCCCCCCACCAAGCCAATACACATAAACACATACATCCCATAATAGTTTGCTCCCAGGCAAGACACACAATAGAACAATGGGATGCAATTAAACAATCAACAACCCGCCACTCCAATATTAGGACAGATCACCCTGTACCCCTAACAGGCACAGGGTGACTTACACATAAGAGGGATATGGGGAGCTGAGACAGGGGTCTCCCCCACCTCTCCAAAGTGAGCTGTGTTCCATGGGCCCCGACCCAAAGTGACTCCCAGATGTCAAACCCAGAAGCAGACCCGGCTAACGTGTTGGCACTGGTGAGGGATGTTGTATCACCGGAGGCAAGGTGAGTATAGCAGACCTTTACTTCTGCTTTATGCTATTTAAAAAAAAATCAGTAAAAATACACTGTAATAATGAATCATACACACGTTATAAGCAGGGTAATCATGCCAGTAAAAAGAGAAACAGGAGGTGCAAACACCTAGTGCATTATCCAAGGTTTATTAAAAAGTCAAAAAGACGAAAACATACAGACATAGCATGTTTGCAAAGCATTGAATGAAAATGGAGATGGCCACAACAGCGGGAGGGTGTTCCGACTGTCAGTGTGGTCCGCTTTCCGATGCGTTTCGGAGACGAGTCCCTTTCCTCAGAGTTCCTCGATTAGCTATGAGGAAAGGGACTCATCTCCGAAACGCGCAGCAAGCGGACCACAGTCGGAACACCCTGCCCTCTGTTGTGGCCATTTTCATACAATGCTTTGCAAACATGCTATGTCTGTGAGTATGTTTTCATCTGTAACTTCAGGTCAGGGGGTCTACAACCGAGACCTTCTAGATGAGATAGCGAGTCCAAATTGGTGCATTTATTACACTGCAGTGGAGATAATATACTGTAGCATACAAAAGTTCACCTTGTGTGAGATGAACTAAGGTGATACAAAATACAGTTGCAAGAAAAAGTATGTGAACCCCTTGGGATTACGTGGAGTTTTGCATGAATTGGGCATAAAATGTGCTCTGAACGTCATCTAAGTCACAACAATAGAAGAACACAGTCTGCTGAACATAATATTACACAAACAGTAGATGTTGCCATGGTTTAATTGCACATAACATGTAAACATTCACAGTGCAGGGAGGAAAAAGTATGTGAGGCCCTAGCTTAATGACTTCTCCCAGAGCTAATTGGAGCCAGGAGTGAGCCAACCTTGACTCCAATCAGTGTGATGATATTGGATGTGTTGCTGTCCTGCCCTTAAAAAACACACACCTTGTTTTGGCTTTACTGGTTTCAAGAAGCACTGTCTGATGTGAACCATGCCTCGCAGAAAAGAGCTCTCAGAAGACCTACGATCAAGAATTGTTGACTTGCATGAAGCTGGAAAGGGTTACAAAAGTATCTCCAAAAGCCTTGATGTTCATGTGTCCACGGTAAGACAGACTGTCTACAAATGGAGAAAGTTTTGCACTGTTGCTACTCTCCCTAGGCGTGGTCATCCTGTAAAAATGACTGCAATGACTGTTTAATGTTTTCTTTATTGTAGATGTGTCAACAAAAATGTTAGCATGTGCCAGAGATTTCTGTAGGTCTTTAGCTGACACTCTGGGATTCTTCTTTACCTCATGCAGCATTCTGCGCTGTGCTCTTGCAGTCATTTTTACAGTCCATGAAAGAATGACTTCATCCAGAAGGAAGGAAGGAAGGATAGTCCCAACACCATCTTGTGTCCGGAATTGATCAACCACGACCCCACAATGGGAAACCTAAACTGCTTACCAGATATTAAGACCCACACATTATAGAGTGGTCTTAAAAGCTTGATATACTCAGCGAATCCCTTTCAAGCAAAAGGATAGGATCCCAGTGCTGTCATTGACCATATATGGTCATGTCCATATTTGGTCAATGACATCATTGGGAGATGCTGCCCCTTGTATATAACAGCTGTCATCCACTGGACTTTCCATTTGGTGGGCGATTGAGTGGGATGTGTTTTGGCGAAGCCTTTTTTAACTTTCAGTGGGTCGTCATCCATCAGGCATTGTACTGAGGTAACAAGTGCTTCACTGTGCACACACTGGTGCCCCACATGGATGTAAATTCACCGTCATCACATGACCACCTATCACTAGGTTAGTCAAACGTGCTTTTGAGACTATCCCAGTATGCAATATGATATTGTTGGCCGGTATTCCTTCACACTCTTAACTGTGGTTGCTGGTGGTACCGGTGACCCTCCACTAGGGCTGCATCAATACTAGAACGCTCCTCTCCTCCACAGGCAGTAATTCATATTTTCAGCATAAGATAAAAAGATAAAACAAAACCAGACATCCCATAGTGTAAAACCGTATGAGCTTTAATAATGGGGTCAAACAATAAAAATGCCACTCACAAAAAAAGTGCCTTTCCTGGCACTAGGTGTATTCAGCCTTGTTGTATATGAATGGAAGTTAAAATGGCTGCCATGTTCCAGCGTGCGTTCCAAACAGCGGAAGTGACGTCGGAAGAGGTTCCGTCATAAAACCTCAATGCATTTCGACCAATAGATCGTCTTTAGGAAGTGGAAAATCTGCCATTTTGAAGATGGGACTGAATATCAATGTGGATCTGCGTTGCTGGAGTGTGGGGGGGGGGGGGGGGATTTATTGCAAAAGTCCATAAAAGAACATCTGGGTAGCAGTGACCATAACAGGATTTCATTTATT